TATGATGAACACCAAGCTAACCAAATCCTTCCATATCCCTCCAGCTTCACTTCAATCCATCCCTTACATCATTCTTCTCATCCTTGTCCCTCTATGACACTTTCTTTGTTCCATTTGCTCGAAAATTCACCGGTCACGATTCCGGTATCTCCCCATTAATGAGAATAGGGTTTGGACTCTTTTTTGCGACGTTTTCGATGATCGCGGCTGCCATCATGGAGGAAAAGAGAAGGGATGCAGCTATACATTCGAACCAAATAATTTCCATTTTTTGGATCACCCCACAATTCTTGATCTTTGGATTATCGGAAATGCTCACTGCCGTAGGCCTCATTGAGTTCTTTTACAAACAATCCTTGAAAGGGATGCAAGCATTTTTAACTGCCTTGACCTATTGCTCCTATTCATTTGGGTTTTACCTGAGCTCCCTGCTCGTCTCTCTGGTGAATAAGATCACAACATCCTCAGGTGGTGGGGGTTGGTGGTGGTTGGCTGGGTGACAATAATCTCAACAAAGACAGACTGGACCTTTTCTATTGGTTGCTGGCAGGCCTCAGCTTCCTCAACTTCCTCAACTATCTATTTTGGTCTCACTGGTACTCTCACACCCCGTCATCTTCATCAGCACCAAGTGCACTACCCCAGCTGCATGGTCATGACACTGCTCGCACGGAGGATTATAACCATCATAGACTGGATGATAATATACCATAATTTATTTAAGAATATTTAGGGTTTTTAAGAAAATAACTGTGAATTAATGAAGGTGATTAATATATATAGGGCTCGATTGAGGCTCTGATCGATCTACAGCGTACACACATATATGTAACCATTATAATATGCACTACTCACATGCTATGCATGTATAAGGGTATCCAAATTACTCTATATCAATAAGCATATATAATGGGAGATGTAAAGTTTGAGATGTAAAACTTGTATTTAGATATGTTTTATATATATTTCTGTAAGATGTAAATGTGAAATCTACTCTAGTGAGAGATGTAATTTGGACCACATTTACCTTTTTCTCTTTGACTGATAGGTCTCGTCTTTGAGATGTAAAACAAAAATAAAAATAAATTGTAAATTTTACATTTTCTAACCATTATGAGTATTTTAAAGGGAAAATTAGGTTAACATCCTTCTTTTTGTTACTCCATTGATTAAAATCCTATTCATTTTCAATTTTTGATCAATGTCCTTGGGTATTAATAACATCATTAATTATTTGAATAATAAAATATTTTTATTTTTAAATATATTCCTTTAATGTTAAAAATGTTACAATTAGTATATTTATATTTATGGCTAAATTTTTTCATCATATAATTTTATTTTTAGTTTGTACCTATTTTTAATTTGCAAATATTTTTTAATTTGTACCAATTTTCTTTTCATTTTTAATTTGTACCCATATATTAGTTCCTTTTTGTGCCCATATTTTTTAAAGTTTTATTTGTGTTTGTACCCATGTATATACTGTCACGTGACATTGTATATTTAATCAATAATAGAAAAATTACATATGGTATATTTATGTTTTATGCCTAAACTTTGTATCATATATTTATATTTTTAGTTTGTACCCACTTTTAATTTGTAACATTTTTTTTTTAAATTTGTAGTATTTTCTTTTTATTTTATTTTGTACCCATGTACTAATTTCTTTTAGCGACTATATTTTTAAAAATTCATTTGTATTCATAAATTTTAATCTTTTATTATTTGTACCCTAATTTATTTCTAATGTACCCATTCTTCTTTATTAATGTACCACTTTGTTATATGTGAAATGTACCAATTTTTTTGTAAAATGTACCAATTTTTTTAACACTATGGATACATTCTTTTGCCATTTATTATTTCTTATTTTTACATATTTTTTATCCATTTATTCAATCAAAATGTTTGAATTTTTTTATTGTAACCGTTTCTAATAGTATTATAATGAGGGATTTTAAATTTATAGGATTATAAATCTCATAAAATATCAAATAATTAATGTCAAAACTATAAAAATATAAATATTAATAGTAATATAATGAGGTGTACAAAGTCAAGGGACCTTGATCAAACTTTGAATAATATTAAGGTTTTAATCAAAGAATGTTAAGGATTAGGGACCGCATCCAAAATATCCCTATTTTAAATTTCATCCATTTGAGAGCTTTCCGGTTAACCAAAAATGAAAATGCTTATTCCAAGAAATTTTGCGTCTCTCGTTACATATATGCTGTAAGGTGAGGCCGTGTTTAATGTGCACTCATCTTATATTTCTTTTTTCATTTGTTTTGGGAAATTCTACGGTACCCTTTAATAAAAAAAGAGTATTAGTACCATCTAATTTGAACGTTGATAGTTGCAAAGCAATCATGTTCAAGTATAATATTCTACCTTTATATTGTAATATGGTCATGGTAATACTTAAAGACTTGTTTCCATTACACTACCAACGTTGATGATTACACATGCATGTCTTATTACAACATAGATGTAAATTATTACTAGGAAACGTCATGAAAGTACATAACATCGTAAGTCACTTATGACCTCCCTACCATAACATATAATAGTTGTAAACACACAAAACAGGTAATCACCGTTACACTATAATTGTTAATTTACACTTTGATGTTACATAATAATCACGCTATAACTAATTACGCAAAATGATGTTATTACTATAACAATGTTGGTTTTTATTTAGTGGACGTCATATTAGATTATAAAGGTAGAACAATATACTTTGACGTAATTGCATTACATTGCCAACATTCAAATTAAGTGGTATCCATACCCCTTTTTATTAATAGCATACTAGTCCGCTCCCCAAAGAAAGCACCCATGTAGGCAAGTACGTATTGAATACATTTCAAATCACTTTGAACTTTTTATTTGGAAAGAAACCAAACATATTTATATAATTAAGATGTAGAACCATGCATATTGAGTGGGTGCCAAATTAAGATGAAAGATGTTTCATGTTTGGCAATATATCATTAGAAATGAATGGACTTGGTTTTTTCTTCTTTGCAAGGAATTTGAGTAATTAAGAAAAGGGAAGGAGGATATCTCGCATCGTGCCTTATCCTTTGATTCTCTGAATGTGATAAGGGCAAATACGCAAGTGGTAGGATAGCTATTGTTACTGTAGTGAAGTGATGATTTGTTACTTGAAATTAAGGGAGAGGGATCGAGAGTCTCCTCTCCTCCACCTCTCCTCCACCTGTAGGCTGTAGAGTGTAGAGGAAATCTAACCACCATGAGGCTTGAGGTGATGCATGCATGCATAAGGAACATGATGATGAGTAATACTTTTCAACAAGCAGTGAAAATAAGGGCCCCCTTTTCAACAAGAGAGACATGTCTCAAACATGTTTTGATGTTGGTGGTGTCGGAATCATATATAAAGATGAAAAATATAAGGGCCCCCTTTGCTATCCTTTTGAACGAAACTTCTCTCGTGCAAATGCTACGTCCATAATCTATATGTTTGCCAAAAGATTAGCATGTCTGTCTAAGGAGGCCCCCTCCCCCACTCCATCGGCAGATTCACCACCACGAGCACAAAGTACTGCAACTTTAACTTTTTTACGTCAACTTTAACTTTTTTACGTTTCAAAGTCATGAATCAGGATGTTTATGTCTTTGAAGTTGTTCACTGAATAATCCCTGCTTTTCAATTAGGTCCGTGAAAATGCCTCAACCCCAATTGTATCTCCTAAGCGCTGGCCCGATTAATTGTTAACATGCCACCTCAAACTATATTCTACATGTTCCTCCATAGTCATAACACACTAGTCTAAATATCATGTGTCTTCTAGCGCATCTAGAATTTAGTGTTAGAAAGTGAGTATGATCGTGAGAGTTAGAACTAGTCATAATGTTCTTATTAAAGAGTTTCAAATTGGTCTAATCAGTTTGAAATTGAAATTTGAAGTGAATCTTTATACTTAGCACTCATAGTTGAATTGGAATTGTATGTTAGTTTCCTATACTGCTTTTAATAGAGAAATCACAAGAATTATTTCAATATAAATAGTAGTTACTGCTCTCATAGAATAACACACTTATTATTAGACTTAGACCTACTATAAATCTGATATTGTTGCAACAAGAGAGGAGAAGTTTACTGTTGAAGTCGGCTATGACTTCATCTTCTATGTTATTTTTAGAGATCAAATTATTCTTACATGTGATATTAGTTGTAAACTCTGATGATTTTTCCATTAAGGATTGATTTGTCCAGATGAATTGAACCCATCTTCTTTGTTGATTTTGGTTGTCCTTAAATAATAGTGCATACTTGTGTCAATGTTAAATGTCTCGCATGCATCAATCGTTAATTGTGAATGGTTATTTGAATATCAAGAGTATGCATCGTTTTGTTGATTCATGAGTTTGCTAACAAATTAAGATATATACATTATGAGAGTGTGTATATATATAGTGGTATAAAGGACACTGTTAATATGCATCGATCAATTCACCAATATCATTCATGCCTCCATGTGTATGAAACGTTTTGGTGGCAAGTATATATGTCAGTTGCTTTGTGATTTTGTTCTGATAGCATACATACATATGACTGGAATCTGTACGCGAGTTTTTTCTGCGAGGACTGGAGGAAATTGATTTTTAATACTTCTTGAGGCTGTGAAGGGAAATTTGAAGCCCCGGAGCGGATGATCAACTTTGATCCTGATGCTGGCAAATGGTGGAAGAATGACTACGATGCAGGCGATACAAAGTTTAAGGAGAATATTTTCGTTGATTTCATTTCATGAATCCTTGTAATTAAGCCTATACAGAGTTGGTTGGACTTGTAAAATAAGAGTTCGGAGAGTTGTTCGTTTTCATCACACACATCCCTTGTTGCTCTTCCTTTCAAGTCTTTTCCGACCGAGACGGGGATAATTGGATTCACCATGCGGGGGCGCATAGCAGAGTGCATGGAAAGTAAATGCAAAAACTGTTCGCGTGGGTTTTTCACACGGATCAAAATCAATGGGAGTCGAACCATTGCTTCATTTCAAGACATAAACGCGTAACACAATACAACTCATAAGGCAATAATAAACACGACACGAGGGTAAGAACAATGCATATGGCAATGGCATACCACGGGTTTTGAGCTAACAAGTTCTGACTAAACCTTTTCACAAGGTACAGGGAGGGCAGGTAGACTGTTTTTCTTCGTCGCTATGCAAGTGCAGGGAGTCTATGGACCTAAGGAGCCTCTTCATCATTCTCACCCGTTCCCCCTTTGAGGTGCAAGTGTTTTTCCCTCTTCTGAAAATCTGTCAAGCCCTTCCCACTTCCAGTCACCCCAACCTTCCCAAAAGGATCATCAGGAGACTTGAAAATGCTCTCACGCTTGCGTCCAGAAAAGAAACCAATCTGAAAATGTAACAAGTTATAGCTCTGGATAAGTGACTCAATTGTCTGCTTAAATACCAAACCAATTCTTGAGAAACAAGCTAGTTGAAAATTGATCATTATGATTTGTCAGGTAAAACCCTTTTTAATAGGTTTGTGTACAACGGCAACAAGAGGTCACTAACAAGATAAACAAAATGCTACCTTTTTGTCTTTTAAACCTATAATGAAACATTTCATTACAAAATAAGAGAAGTTTAAAACGAGACAGTTGCAACAGTTTATCTAATCTGTAATGTGTTCATCTCTTGTGATGAGGCACACTTAAGGCAACTCACCGCCTTTGAAAACACTATTTTGATTAAGAGAAGCACTCCAAAAGAAGAAAAAGCTACCAAAGTAAAAATTTGGAAACACTCCAGAGGCGCGCAGACAAATTAAAGCAGCCGATATTCTTGTCCCTTGAAAAACAGCAACCAGACAACAGTGCAAACACATTGAAATTCAAAATGTCGAGCTAACATACCTTCTTAGTCTTGCCTTTGGTTGTTTGGAACTGTTGCCAAGCATTTTGACGTTTATTCTGTGTAACTTCCAGTTGTTCCATCCTCATCTTCGACTTGAAAGCATGTATCTTTTTGCGTTTGGTAACTTTCTGTAGATTTTGAAGTTGGCAAGAATCAGTCCCCAAAAAAAACAAACAAGTTGTCAGAACACATTTAAAAACATTATACATAACTTTTAGGGTTTAAGAAAATAATAGAAGATGCCAAAAAAATAAAAAAATTGATTGCTACCAAACTAGCACTAAAATATAGGAATGGGAATCAGTTCACTTCCAAACCTTCCACTGTGTTTACTAGCACACAAGGAATCGGAAAAGTGTTAACTTCCTCTTAAAATCTGTAATAAATACCTCAATATCAGGAATCAGTTGATCCAATTCCCTTTCCTTTTCCTATTTCTAAGTTCTCCCATTCCTTCCTTATTCCATTTCTATTAAGTAAACATGCCCTGAGATTTTAACTTTTGGACCACCATTTTTGTCCTATGAATATTTTATCACATCCACACTTCTGTACAGTAAAATACTAACCAAATAGATTTAGGCCCCGTTTGGGATTGAGGTGATTTAAAAAAAGCCACTGTGAAAAAAAGCTGAGGGTCATTTTTGTGTTTGGTAAACTGAAAAAAAATGGCTTATTTTGGAAGCTGCTGTGAGAATAAGCTGAAAATCAAAGGAAAAGCTGAAGCTGCTATTTGCTGCTTTGAAAAAAAGCCAGTTTTTTCAAAGCACACGGAGCTACAGTGCTCCTTTAATGAAAAGACACACTATCATCCTGATTTTTTTTTCCAAAAGCACTTTCACAAAAAAGTTTACCAAACACTCTACTGGCTTTATTTCACAGCCGCTTATTCTCACAGCACAGCCGCTTATTCTCACAGCAGTTTTTTTTCAAAGCACAGCAATACCAAACCAGCCCTTAGACAGATAGATAAAATACCACATCCTCTGGATCATCAGGTTCTATACGAAGTTTTGGTGGTAAACTTCGTGATTGGAAGTCAATAGAAGAAGCTTGTGCAATCTTCCTTTTGAGTGCTTGTTTTGTGGCCTCAGCAACCCTTTCAGCTTCCAGCAATGCATTGACAGCCCCTTCTTGAATTGGTCTTACATTGTCTGGATCCACCTGAAGTAAGAAAAAGTATCAGTGGCTGACCACAATTACATTTTAAAAGAAGAAGAACGTATGAGCCAAAATAAATGTAAGGACATGCAATAAAAAATGGAGATCAGTCATGAAAACAAAAGTGATCCACAACCTCAAATATTAAGTTAACTTCATCGCAAATTTTAAGACGAGAAAAAGGAAAAACTACGTTGTCATTTCAAAATTGAATAATATTAATAGGTGACATAACTTTCAAAAAGCAAATAAAGCATCACTCTATTCACAATGTCAATTCTATGTATGAACAGATAAACCTTCATTCCACCAGAATAAAACACGTTTCAATCAAAGAAAATAAATATAATAAAACCAGATTTTAAAGACAACTACCTTAACAATTCAACCTCTCTCTCTCTCTCTCTCTCAACCTCGATATGAACATGATCAATAGAAAGAAGAATGTCTTAATGAATTATAAACATATTAATTCAATGTGTATGAGAAACCATACCTCTTCTTTATTCCCCCAGCTATCATAAGTAACGAAATACCCATTTGGAGTAAGAGACTCGATTGTGGCATCATACCTGGACATTCAACTAATCAACCACAGACAAAAAGAAAAGAAAGGTAAAGCAAATGTAGAAAATTGTAAACACAAATCTACTGAAATAATCTCTATTTTTTCTCACATACCACTCCCCATCTTCACTCCAAACAGCTTGAACTTTTGTGCCCACAGAAAACTTGTCATGATAATCGGAAATATTCCCTGAATCCTGCACAAGGAATGATTATAACATAACCACAACAGGACACGAGAAAGATACAACATAAGAAAACACTAATGACAGTAATACCAGCTTTGTTTGGGTCAACAGAAAAATTCATTTGAAAAGGGTTTAATAAAAAGGAAAAAGCTCTATAGATAAACCTTACAAAAAGCACTACAGTAGTATCAGCTTCATAACATGCATTATTAAAGGTCACTGAATGTGGGAACAAATTCCACATTGGGTTACCAAGTATGCTTTTAAATTCTTCTGAAGTTGAAATATATGTTGTAAACAGCAGGAAGTTTTTATATAGAACCCCGGTCCAGCGCCTTTTGAGAAACAAAACTCTGTTCATGTAAGTCATTCTCAAGCCACACACAAAAAAAGCATATTTCTACATAGCCATTTACCACATAACTCATTGTAGGAGTAACCCTGTCAAAGCATAAAGCATATTTTCCCTAACAAAAACAACAAAAAAACACAAAAATAAAACGAAAATAAAAAAATTCATGAGGATGTCAACTTACATTTTCATTCCTCTGAGTCTGGGGCAAACTAGGTGATGTACTATCACTTGTCCCGAAATCTAATCCGGAATTCTGATTTTGCTTTGCAGTTGCAAGTAGTTCTTCTGTCAGAGCAATTACCTGCATTATCAAACCTAAATTTAAACAACATACATACAAATAGACATACATCGTAAAGAGAAAATTATTGTCAAATTTCAAACTTAGAATCTCAGTGTGAACATCGGAAATCAGTTTAAAGAGAAGGTGAAAGCTGACCATCACCACACAAAGCACACCTGCAAAGGAACCAAGATAGAAGTAACATGATACTTTATGAAGCTCTAAGGATCTTTTTTTTTTTCTAAATTCTAAATTCTCCAGAATTCCGCTTTCTGAAGTGTATGAACTTTATTCAACATAAAAACCATCCTCACCTTATTCAACCCTGTAAAGAAAACAAACCTCCACAGGTGCCATAGCAGTTAATTGGCGTTGCTAGTTTGAGCAACATGATTCCTTCAAAAGAGAGAAGGAAGAAATAAAAGAAGAATGATATTGAATCAACAACCTAGAGATCCATATAACAGTAACTATCATTGGTTGTCATCCTAAGGACCAGAGAAGATGTTGCCTCAGTTTTCAGTTTCACACAGTAACTGTAAGATATAGACCTATACACTATAAACTCAAAAATAAATATGAGAGTTCCAATAGGAATGAATCAAAATCACAAATGATTTGATAAGATGTACATGAAATATACATACAAAAATATAATATAAAAACAAACAGAAAAAAAGATACCTCATTGAGCTCTCTTTCCATGTCAACATACTCAGAGTTTGCAGGATCATCAGCTAAAAGCTCCTTTACCTGATCCAGAGGACAGCAGAAATCGTTACAAAAAACATATCTACAAGAGAATACAAAGAATGATTCACCATGCAACCTACAGCATATAATTTTCAATATAGAAAACACAAGATAACAACTCGTTCTTCAAATTTTTATTTTCATGGTAAAAAATTTGTAATAATTCATCAAAAGACAATATCAAAGCATAACTAATTGTGCATACGTTGTAACATTGCAACATCAAACTTCAGGATCCCACTAAATTTAAGTCAGAAGATCCAACTACAGAAACAGAACACACCTCAAAATTATATAAGGAATAGCTTCCTCCTAGATATCATGTGTACGGTGTACCCTTTCTTTTCTTCTAGCATACCAAAAAAAAAAAAAAATTGTAAAATGCATCAAGAGAAAGGTGAGGATGGATTTTATTTCTTACAAAGTAGTAACAGAGTTAGGGATTACATGGCACTAGGCACTTCATTTTTTTATATTTTTTAATGAGAAACACAAGATTTATTAAGAGAAAACAAAAGAAAAATAAGAAGCATGGACAAGTAGTCCTTCAAACACCAAAAACAACATAAGAAACAAAATAACCCAGAGAAAACCTAAACCAAAAGACACAACAGCATCCTAGAGAACCCTCGGTACAAAACTGCCCTCCAATCAAAACACTCCCTTTATATAGAATGTTCTTGAAATATTTAGAAATAGAAGCCCAGGAAGAAGTATGTAATCAACTCTATCCCAAAGTGCACCCACTTTCTCCTCATTGTCGAAGATTCTCTTGTTATGCTCCAACCAAACACGCCATCAAAGGGGTAAAACTGCACATCTCCACAAGAATTCATTTATTTATTTTGACTGACTGATCTTCTATCCCAACAATTCATCATTTTTTTTTTTTTCAGATCAAAAACTTAAATGATGAGGGACACAGTTGAGTTAATGGCCGGCTTCATATACTTTTCTATATAGGATAAATTGTGTCATTTGTTAGATAGTGAATATCCAATTTGCTCGCATTCAAATGCAATGGTTGCAAAGATGCACTTTTTCCACTAATTCGAATGCTCACTATTACATACAATACAACATACTAAATATACTTTCTCAACAATAGGACTTGAAGATATGAATTTAGTGTATAAGCCAATCTCATGTCTATTCAAGACTTAAAGCTCACTCCCCATAACCATTGACTCATATTCCAAGGCGAGAACATAAACATTACACATGAGGTTCAACGGCAAAGGAAGAAATTTGCTGTACGAGTAATAAATGTTTTCCCACAATTTAAAATCAACAAAGAAGCTGAAAATCATTCACAATATACATCTGGACATGGTTTACTAATAGACAAAAAGTTACATAACAAATACCACACATGTATACAATCGTACAAGATTTCAATTCCTAGTGTATCAAATAACCAAGGATGCAGACGGACCGTAGATTATGTAGACTCAATTCCTACAGTGAAATCACCAACTGCACGCATTATAAACCAGAGTTTCAAAATTCCTCCCTTTCTTTAGTTTGGTTTGCTACCAATACAGGATCAATCAAAATTCTGGGAAAATTGTTTCTTTTAAGTAGAGAGGGGAGTTGTTAAACCCAAACAGGTTAATTATATCATAATTGGTATAATGGTAAGAAAAACCCTAGTTAAATAATAATTCAAATAAACCCTAATCACACTCACAGCATATATCGACTGCAACGATGAAAATTAACATCGTAATAGGAATAAAAACAGATGAAACAAAGAAGAAGGACAAAAGAGTGGAGTGGGGGACCTGGTGAAGCTGATCTTTGTAGGTTGAGAGATTGGAGGCCAGCTCCTGTATGCTGAGCTCTTCTCCTCCTTCTCCTTCCATTTTTTCAAATTTTCAGGGATAATACCTGGTGGTTGGTTCTGAGAAATTTTTACAGAAGCAGGAATCGGAAGAGAAAAAGGAACCTGAAAACAGAGGAAGGCAGGAATCGGAAGAGGATTAGAAATCGCAAGTAAAAAGGAGAGGGACGGATCCAAACCAGACCGACCAAAAACAATCAGCCGATCCAAAAAAACAGACGAAAACAAAAGGAGACTAAACCAATTGGACTCGGCCTTGCTTGGGTCCAAGTACTTTCATTTGGGCTCGGCCCATACTTTTACCTTTTCTATTAATTTAACGCCGATTTTATAGATAAAGTAATATGTAAAGGTATTTTTTAGTTTTAATTTTTTTGGTTTAATAACCAGTTGGCATAGAATAGTACAATGATAGATAAAAAGGAAAACTAATGAAAATAGCTTGAAAATTTTGAGTTTTAATGATAAGGATAAAATAAAGGGTAAAATGAATAGTACCAAGATTGACTTTTTAGTGTTAAAATGTTGTTTTTCATTAAAGTGAACAGTACTTGGAACTTTTCGTTAAAGTTCACTATATAAAATCTATCCAAAACTCAAACTTGAATATTATGATTAAACATTATGAGCATAAAACAAAACAACGCAAAACTATTTTATAATGCAACTGGATATGTAAGAATAAAAATATTTTGTTGGTGGATATGTCAAAAAGTTAGGCAAAGCCGAAGCAAATACTAATCCATACACCCTTAAACGGAAAGGTGCACTCAGTGCAATAACAATTAATGAAGACAATTTAAAACAATGCAAGACAAAGACAAAAGACAATGACAGCGTGAATGAAAAGACGAGTAGACATTTTTATTTTGTATTTAATGAAGATTTTACGGAAAAATCATTTTTAGACTAAATTTGCATCTTTCAATTACCTTATTACCACATGACCGTTTATCCAATTAGACCAAGTTGATTTGAAGACAGATTGACAAGAAAGACGAGTGGGAGAGGTTTATGATGGCTTCAAACATGTTGATTTTTGTTGAGATACAAGTCACCTACACAGGGCACTTCAAATATTATTAAGGTTTGGGGTTCTTATTACATGCTTATCCATCCATCCTAAATAATTATCTTATTATTTTGACTAGGGAAAAATGTGCACGTCCAAAGTTGAAGCGACAACTTGGCACTAGTCAATTAAACTTCCAAATATATACATGAGTTCATTCAAGTGCAACTAATATCTTAAAAGGAAAACTAATAAAAAGAGCTTGAAAATTTTGAGTTTTAACGATAAGGACAAAATAAAAGGTAAAGTGAATAGTAACAGAATTGACTTTTAGTGTTAAAATGTGGTTTTTCGTTAAAATGAACAGTACCAAGAGCTTTTCGTTAAAGTTTCCTATCTTAAACTCATGCATGGATCTTGACTTTTACACCATCATAACTTCTCTTTTCATCTATATATACAGAGGAGATAGCGTCTCAACCACTACTACTACACCACCACAGACAAGCCCCCCGCCGTGGCTCTTGATTGAAAATCTAAGACTTCTCGTAAACACTCATCTCCATCCAACCCGCGCTTTCCCTGCAAGTAACCCAAATTTAGGAAAAATGCAGTGCCGATAGCGCAGAGAAAATTGTAGTGAAGATTAACCTATCAAGCAGCAAATAGAGAATGAAGAAAAAGGAAAGGCATAAAAGAACAGGAGCATGAGGGACTACACAAAACCATACCATGCACTCTCCTGACTTTGTTTCCCGAAGAAATTTCTCCAATGCACCATCCCCACTAAGAATTTTAGCTCCAAGTCCACAAGTGTCCTCTGACCCAACAGCTTCTTCATCCACCAAAACTGTATATGCACTGGTTTCCGTCTTCATGTCTGGAACCTGTGCACAACAAAAACCATCTAGTATCACAGACACAAAAATACTGATACCCCAGGATCTTCAATGAAAATAGAAGTACCAATTTCATGGAATGGCTAGACACTAAGCATTCATGACAAAGCGACACTACCATCATTTCACAATCAAAATTTGGAGCAATATCCTAGAGTTGCTAATTTCACAAAGATCAACTGGTCCCTTTTGAGGTTTAGCAAATAGTGCCACTATCTAGTAAACTGGCCAGTGTAACTGACAACATCACACTGACAGCAACATATAGAGTAGTCCATTTAATTGTATTACAACAATAATCAATTAAAACCATACTAACTAAGGCACATACAAGGGTATATATACCTCAAACATTGCTTCTGTTAGAATATTTTCCAATATTGCTCTCAAACCTCGAGCCCCAGCGTTCTTTGCCATTGCCTTCTTTGCAATCAATCTCAATGCATTATCAGTAAAATGTAATTGGACCTGACATTTCATAAGAAATAAGGAGTTTACATTATTATTCTATCAAGTTCTGCAAAAATGAAATTATTAAGGGTATGGTAAGACATAAAGTTCTATGACTACATAATGCAATGGATCACAGGCTTACATTGTTCATGTTGAACATCTTCTTGTATTGTTTACCAAGAGCATTTTTAGGTTCTGTGAGCACCTGATTTACAAAATAAAACATACTGAAATATTTCAGTATCTTATCAATCAGAGGACGAAACAACGAGTCTAGCTAACTAATCAGTTTCAATTTTAATATCAAGTTCTACTGCATTATGCTTAAGAAGCGAGTAAGCAAGATCTTCAGTATACAGTGCACAATAATCTACAGGTTGAGCATGCCTAAAATTTTCTACTCGCCCACCCAATAATAACCACAAAAATATTTCACTACACAAGGTAATAGATGCAGATAGAGCACACCTGAACAAGTTGGTCCTCATCTAAAGATGACAAACTAGCTAAAACAGGAAAGCGGCCAACAAATTCAGGTATCAGGCCGTACGCAATAAGATCTCCACTTTCTACCTACAGTTCCATTAGAAACTTTAAAGCTTGTTATTCAAACAAATAAGGATACTCATATTGTATTAGAGAAAAGGAAGAAGTTCAGGAAACCTCAAGTCAAGAATTTGATTATGTATACATAAAATAAAGATGGAATATATTCTTTGACTTATATTCAGTTTTGATTCTCACATATTCCAACAAAGATGATGTCACTATGGCATCAGTCAAGCCACTGGTCCTCATGTTTGCACGAACTGGTACACCAAATCCAATGGAAGAATCTTGGAGTCTGAGAAAAGAAGGTGCTTAACCATATCAAATTCCTTTCAATGTGGAAACGTACATGCTAATAGTTTCTAGTATACATGCATTACCTTTCTGAAATGGTCTTCTCCAAACCAACAAATGCCCCACCACATATGAAAAGGATATTGTTGGTATCCATCTGCCAAGTATCGTAATAAAGTAATTATGTGCACCACGAAATTGTTGACATTTTTGCAATGCAAACCCTTACTAAATAGGAGAATGGACTACTGCTAAAAGTCAGACTTCAAGTACAAACTGTATGATTAAAACTGAACACGTTAATGAAACATACAAAGCTGTTCCAAATTTACAATCCATTTTTTCTACATATAAATATTAAAATCACTTCACTGCAATTAAAAACACTTCAACTACAAGCACCCTCCTCAAAGTGGAAATTTTAGGGGGAAAGTTGGACACGAAGGAAATGAAATCATTCTATCTACTGACTAGTGGACCATATGATTTTTATTTCAAACTATAACCATGAAAAGTTTTGTACTTCACAGGTTATGCACCCACCCCCACACGAGCAATACCTGTGATTTTGTCCGTAAGAAATCACCTAAGATGAGGCCTAATGCCTCGGGAAATATAAGTTAGTATGATCATAAGGCATCTCTTGCCTACAACTCACCAAATCTAACCATATCAAAGAAAAAGCCTCTAAAATGAGGAGGAAGAAGAAATGAACAGATACTTTTACCTGGATGCTATCACCACGAGAATGCTTCCGAGCTCCTTTATCAGAAACGCTAACTACCTGAGAGATCAAAGAAAAACACATGTACTCTTATATTAATATAACTAAATTAAATGAGACATTCGGAACATTTGAAAGCATCAGACCTGATGTCTTGTGATCATTTTGAATATGGCAATCACTATAAATGGGTCACATGTATTGTTCCAATGCAATGCAACAAAACATAAGAAATTCATATAATTTTTACCTTAAACAAATGTTATGCAACAAAAACGTGTTCCAATGCTATGACATCAAATCAATACATATTGTTTCATTATAGCTAAAGTCAATCGCATTAAATTGTTTTGGATGGAAAAGTTACATTGCAGAAAAGGCTGGTGGGAGAATTACGAGGAAACCAAAGAACAAATATGCAAGTCCTTTAGTTATACAACAAGGTATTAACAAAAATTTAGCAAATATCGTAGAGTTCAAAGATGGGATGCTTTCAAATTTACCAACAAAAAGTTGGAAGAAGTTTTAGTTTAGGTAATAACATAAATCCAAGAGAAATCTACAAGGAATGACCAAGAAGGTTGTTATTATGTCCGTTATAGATCGTCACACTAGTGGGATAAGGCTTTATTGTTGTTGTATAGATACTCACACTAAGAGGGTTGACAAAATTTGATTTTCATCAATATTGTCCAAAAACTTCAAGACCTCCAAAGAAATATTGAAACAATCATGAAAACATTAAAGATTTACCCTAAAGAAAATGAAACCACAAAACCATTGGAGAAAAACGTCTCCAGTCTGAACAGGATAACATGCTTTAAACTAACAATCCTAACTTGTTTGACTTCTTCATAAATGATATATAACAATTTGTGGAACATGGATCATATTTACAGACTAAAACAAAACTGTTTTACTTACTTCCTATCAAAGAGTTGGTTACTTACGGTTCCTTCTAACATTTTCAGCAATGCCTGTTGGACACCCTCCCCGGATACATCTCTGCTCAAGCTCTCAACCTGAAAAATAGCCTCTTTATTATTGTAGTGAGGAATAAAATTAGCTGATTTCAATACATAAGTTTATAACACACCTTCTTAGTTATCTTATCAACTTCATCAATGTAGACAATCCCTTTCTGAGCTGCTTCCACATCAAAGTCAGCTTCCTAAACACATTGGAATGATCAAAATGTAATTATGTAAGGTGTGCTTAATGGCACCCAAAACAAGCACAAAAGAGGAATATTTGCAATTCTTGAA